GTCAGGTAGGGGTGCGGGGAGGCCGGCTATGCCGAACGGGGTCGGCAGCGGGGGTGCGGTGGAGGTCGGGGCGCTGTAGGGGAGGGGTGCGGGGCGGCCGGCTACGGCAGACAGGGTCGGCGGCGGCGGCCTGGTTGTGGGTGGGGAGGGAACGAGCGAGAGAGAGTGGACAGAAGAGACAGAGGACGGGGGTGGGACGGCCGTTAACGTACCCGCCTATTTGCGGTCTGCCAATGGTCGGCAAACTTTCTTTGCTGTCTGCTTGCGGACGTCAAAGAGGTGGGGCCGGTGGGCTTGGGTTGGTTACACAATAACTGGACCCACCAACCTCTTTGCCGTCTGCTAGCGGACGACATAGTTTCTTTGTCGTCGGCTAGCGGACGACAAAGAGTTGGCTGATGGCAAAGACCTTGTTTGCCATCAGCCACTTCTTTGCCGTCCGTTTTCGTGTGGCTGACGGCAAAGACCTTCTTTGTCGTCCGCCAGCAGACGGCAAATAAGCTAATTCTAGTAGTGTCACTCTTTTTACTGTAGCAGTATGGTACTAAATTTCCCATCAAACTTCCCACCACTTGCTGTGCACACTCATGGGCCTTAGAGATTAACCAGGGATTATTGTCTTATATGGGCGTAAGCCCATCCTCAATCCATCATGCTTTACTCTACTTAGGAAAAACTGATTTATTTTTCTGAACACCTCCCCTAAGCACCTTATGTTGACGTATAAATGTATTGTCTAGTCTCTTCCATCAGATCAATCTTTTGGTTGCATTGGTTAGAGCATGCACTTCTACACCTTGCATTGGACAAAGCCTAACAAGACGTTCGAAACAGCTATTTCCAGCAAGCCAAGCTGAGTCGAGCGCAAAAGGGGGCTCAACGTACGTGGCGATGCAGGGAGGAATGTGCGCGGAGATGGATGGACACCAAAATATGACGCAAGATGGAGCGAAACCTAGCATTGCTCCCTATTTACTCGCTCACTCTAGCGCTAGAACAAATAGAGCCTTAGTTCTTGGCACCGGCGGCAACTCAGGTATGTGGAAGCGGCGACGACGATTACTTCGATCTCCAGCAGCAAGACCTACTTCTCCCCTTCATCTCTAACTCCATCTCCTCCTCCTCATCTTCACCATGGGTGGGTCGTCGACTCCAAAGCGGGTAAGCAGCATAATCCCCTTCCTATGTTAGTTCGTTAGGTACAGTGTTGGTCGATTTTACCATTGTTTGTTGCAACACTAATGTCGCCATTAGGTCGTTATGGACGAACAGATGAATCTGGTTGTTCACGCAACAACACTCATAGCTGTGATTCGGGCCCGACTCATGTTGGTCCACAAGAGAGTGATGAACCTATCATCTGTCATGGTTTAATGTTAATCCGAGATAGGGAGAATATGGCGAATCTGAATTACATCTACAACAGCAACACCATAGAGGTTATGAACATGCTTCTTATCCGAAGAGCACCTTTTTTTCTATGCTCGTGGAGACACTTAGGAATAGAGGGCAGCTAGAAGATAGCATCCACACCTCTGTGGAAGAGCAAGTTGTCATGTTCTTTCATGTCGTAGGTCATAATCTGTGGTAGAAGGTTATGCACATCACATTTAGGAGATCCATGGACACCATTTTTCAGGTATTTCAAGCAAGTCGTGTAATGCTATTGGGGAGCTTAGAGGAAAGATGATGAACCACCAAGCGGGCACACTCCTAACAAGGTTCGTACGAGCCCAAGATGTTATCGTATTTCAAGGTGAGCACTATTCGTAGTTCATGCCATAACATGCTTGTATTTTAAGATGTTTTCGTGCCATCGCATGATCGTATTGACGCAATAGATGATACTTCATATATTGCATCACAATTTTAGATGGTAAATATTACACTTTTACGCTTTTCCAGCAATCGTTGCATCAATTAATTATGGTTTATCTTAAAATGTAGAGAATTGAAGAATTATTTCCCAAAGAGAGGATGGAAATTGGACCTTCGTGAAGAAAGTGCACTATCAAAGCCCCCAAAAGGATTGATTGTAGCGACGAGAGTAATAAAAACTTAAAAGTAAAGAACATAAATTAAAGGACTGTAAAAAAAGGTCATTAAAAATGTAAAAAAAAAACTGATACAAGAAAAGACAAAAGGAAAACATAATTTACAACTGCCATACTCTATTTTATAAAAAATGTCATGCTAAACTTAAAAAAATGTTTATTCTAGACAAGTCTAATAAATTTTCCATGGTCCAAGCGCAACTTTTTTTGTTGCAAAAAACAAAAATGTCACCCTCTTAATAGTAAAAATACCATCCATTTAATAATAAAAATACCTCTGTCTTAACTCTTAGTAATAAAAACGCCATGCTCTAAAATAATAAAACCGCCATCTTGTTCTTAATAAAACAAGCATCATCCTAAAAATAAACTGCCATGTTATTAATAACAAATCTCTTATTAATAAAACTATCGTCCTCTTAATAATAACTAGCGTACGTGCCGTGAGTTGCAACTGGAGAAAAAATACACCCCTCATACACACTCAACGACAATCCCTTAAAATATTTCAGGTTGTCGAGAAACAACATGATAAGTGGTGTTGCAGGAAGACAAAAAGGTAGGACAATATTTTAATATACTAAAGTACGTCCAATTTATTAGACACACCGTTAGCACATGTGCATCCCTTGTGCCGTCAATATTAGATTTTATAAGAGCATCAGACTATCTTATCTAGTCAATTTAAATGAGTAGAAAACATGTAGAATATGCATTTTCAATATACACCATATAAAGAAAAATAGTAATTAAGGGTGCACTCTAAACACAATTTTAGAAAATATTAACATGCAGGTTAATAGCATATTTGGAAACTATACATTTTTCTGAATAATTTCCATATATTACTGTTTAATTTGCTTTTAGGATTTGAAATGTATGATTTTTTAAAGCATTTAAATCTGTCAAAAAGGAAAAAAGTTTAAAAATAGAGTAGCTGGGCTAAAACAGCAAGATTGTGCAAAGATGGGCTTAGGCTAGGCAATTTTATCCTACGCCAACGAAAATTGAAGAGAAAATGCACGAAAAAGGAAGAACGAGGATTTAAACTCGGGTCTCCTCTTCGGAGACCGGAGATATTAGGCTCGATCCACCAGACTACTTCGATGGATGTGAAACATTTGGGGCCTCGCTTTAAATAAACAATAAAGCCAACGGCGACTTAGAAGGAAAAACATTTTTTTTTCCATTTACCGGTGGCATATGGGGTAATTGCTGATAACTTTAGGGGTAAATCTGATGACGGGCAGACAGAAGCAACAACCGTTTTATTATTAGGTAGAGATTTCAAATAATAATATTAATAATAATACAAATCATGTTTTTAATAATAAAAGTGCCATGCTCTCAATAATAAAAATTTCATGTGAGAAAGTAAAAATATATATTCAAAAATTGCCATGAAGAAGTGATAAAATTTCCCAAAAGCAAACCGACAACAGAACCGGTGAACTGGCGGTCCGACGGTAAAAATCTGACCATACAGCCTTACCGATTCGATTACCTGTTCGGTTTTTCAAACTCTGCTACTTTTTTTTGAGTCTTTATAAAACTATGCTACTAATTCCTTCGTTTTAATTTCCTTCGAACCGAATGAGCCCTTAGCTGGGCCTTGAGGCCTCATTTCGCAGCGGAACTGACTGGGCCAAGCCTATCCGGTCGTCAAAGCCAGCTCGGGGCGATCGGGCGAGCCGGAGCCGCAGAACCGAACGGGAGAACAGGGGCTCGATTTCTTCCAAGAAGCAGAAGGCGGATCGGGAATTCACGCCCGGACTCCAGTTCCCCGCCGCCTACAGCTCACCCACGCTCGCCGCCCGCCACCCTCCTCCGGAGAAGCTTATTTTTTGGGCATTAGAGGCAATTGAGATGGTGCCCGATGGCGGCGTCAAGGACCAGGAGGCCCCGAGCTCCTCGTCTCCACCCGCTGCGGCGATAGCGAGGGCGGCACGGCCGCCTAGGCCAGTGAGCTTTAAGACCAAGAGGATCGCGTGGCACCCGCTCAAGCACCGCCGGTTCCGCGTGGGGGCCACCAAGACGATGTTCGAGGCCTCATCGTCCGCTCGGCTGGTAAGGGGAGCCAGAGAGGTGGGGGAGGCTACCACGGCGGCGGCGGCCATGGGGCCGCCCAAGGAGGACGAGAAGGGGCACATATGCGGCAGCTGGAAGAGGTAACATCATGCTTGGATGACCCTACTGTTCTCTAGGCCATATGCTAGATTTTGTTAGAATCTTTATTGATTAAAACATACAGTGAGAGGATCTAGGCCAAACAATGGCATTGCTTCCCTGGGGTAAGATGGTCACTAGGGAAAAAAAATACATAGCTTGGTTCCTCGTCACTCGTTATCGCTGGTTGTCGCATTTGTAGATTATATATGCTTACATGATTATAGAGAAAGCCCTCATGTGTTTAGTTAGCTTAACTAGTACTCTTCTCTAATTTTTAACTCTTGTATAGGATTAACAACAATCATCTGATACTTTTATACTTCATTCACTGATACATGCTAATTCCTAGTCCGCGTAGATGAACCAATGTCAAGTACATACTTCAAAGGTGATGAGGAGACACAATCACCATTGACAGTATAGACGTTATCAGAAGAAAAGGTTAGAAATTCTTAAAATTGGATTATAGAAACTTTTTCAAAGGTTACCTATTCAAGTCATGTCTCTGAGTCATCAATGTCCCCCAAATTATCTAACTTGCTGAAAATTGCAAAAATGTCTCATGTCAGATGACAGATTCTGTAATTAGTACTCGGTGATTATGTTTTATCATGCATAAGAGTGTGATGTTGATTGGGAGGCGATTGATAGTGGGGGCGTCAATTGCTTGTGTCTCTATTTCTCTCTCACTGAACCTTTTTGTGTGAAAAGCTGCTACGAACCATTTACTAAGCAAAAATACAATGCATAGTTTTTGTTGGTTTAATCAGAGTGCGATCTGTACAATGTATCTACACTGAGTATTTGCTTTTAAACTGGTGCTTGGTGATGTGTGGTACTGTGGCACTATCAAGCACCTATAAACGACCACTTGGAGATGCTCTTGTCAGCAATTACCAGACCATATGAGTTGTTGTAAATTGCTGCTACCCTTTGGCTGTTGGTTCTTGCTTTTGTTAGAATTATGGATAAGAAGAGAAGATAATGGACTGCACTGACTAAATATATGCTAAACGGCTTGATCCTTAATTGATAACATATCCATATCGGTGCAAAGTATGCCTATTCGTCTTCTATTATATTCCTTAATTCTCCCCTTGCGAACATCTGTGGTTGCAGTGAGGATGGAAGTTTGTATTGTGGATATTCTAGCTTGAGAGGGAGAAGAGCAAGTATGGAAGACTTCTACGACATGAGATCATCTAAAATGGATGCTAAAAACATAAAACTTTTTGGAGTATTTGATGGTGAGAAATTCACCGTTTAAACACTTCATTGTGTCTCGTTTATTGTTCAGACTAAAGTTATTTTGTCATCACAGGACATGGTGGTTCATGTGCCGCGGAGTATCTCAAGGAGCACTTATTTGAAAATCTCCTGAAACACCCCTCTTTCATTACTGATACAAAAACAGCAATAAGTATGATGTTTACTCATGAGCGTTACTCCAAAATTATTCAGTGCATCTAGTAGGATAATCGACCATAGTAACTAATGGTAATTCCCAGGTGAGAGCTATACGAAGACTGACTCAGATTTCTTGGATGCTGAAACCAATATTCATAGAGAGGATGGGTCAACTGCATCAACAGCAATTTTTGTTGGCAACCACCTCTATGTGGCAAATGTTGGCGATTCACGGGCTGTAATATCGAAGGCGGGCAAAGGTGTGATTTTTTTTCCGGAACTTTTATCCCAGTTAATGTTGACCATGTATTATATGTTATTGTAATAAATCACTTCATAACTTTCTAGGATAAATGTTTGCATACATTACCTATTATCGTGATCCTGGTGTGTTATTTTAAATTTGCGATGAATCTCATTGCGACGTAATATCATGTAGCAGATAAATGTTTTTTAGAGTTGGTATGTTTGTCGTATCATGTCAGTAATGCACGCTAGTTAATTTTACATTCACTTTTCTTTGTCAAATGAAATACTGGACAGATCGTGTTTCAAGAATGTAAATGGGTGGAAACTGGTAGTGGTTAATGTGAAATATCCGGTGTTTGTATTTGAGAAAATGTGTATATATGAAACAGCACAACTGAAAATGCATATGGGAAACACAAAGACTGAATAGGAGCTATGTTTCCCAACATTTCAACGCTGATAGTATTTTGTTGGATAATGCATTTATGTCGTAGGTGCTTAAATTTCGGGGTTGGCTTACAACCCTTTAAATATCCGGTGATTATATTGCATGAGCAGCTTATCTACCAGTATCTGTTGATATTGGGATGTTCATATAACATATTGGTAAATCAGTTCGGTTTATCTTCTTTGCAGCTATTGCGCTCTCTGATGATCACAAACCAGACAGAAGTGACGAGCGGGAACGGATTGAAAATGCTGGAGGAGTTGTTACATTTAGTGGTAAGCCTGACACTAGCTATATGATGATTTACTTTGTTGAAAATCAATCACGTGTTTGTTGAAATATCTATTAGTTGATAATGCCAAATGTTTGTTTTGCAGGAACATGGAGGGTAGGTGGTGTACTTGCCATGTCTCGGGCATTTGGAGATCGTTTGTTGAAGCCGTTTGTTGTTGCAGAGCCTGAGATTCAGGTGATCTTGCGATACTCATTAACTTGCTGTTGTTTATACCAACTGCAAAGATACCATTACACAATAATGCCCTAGGTCCTGATAGATGTCATGTATGCACTTGGCCACTGGGCAATTTACTTGAGTATTTGCAAAATATTTTGTCAGGAACAAGAAATAGATGATGAATTGGAGTATCTGATTTTGGCTAGTGATGGCCTGTGGGACGTGGTGTCAAATGAGGTCAGTATACCATAATACTCCATTTGTTCACAAATATAAGATGTTCTAACTTTTTTCTATCAGACGTTTTAGTGTTTGTTCACTCGTTTTAGTCCGTATGTAGTCCATATTGAAATATCCAAAACATCTTATAGTATTTGTGAACGGAGGGGGTACCAAATTTCATGCACAGCTGCACACGCATTTTATTTTCCATTTCTTTGCGCGATGACTACCAATAGATCTCCGGTGCACTTTCTTTGTTGCATTATATATTGTAGTATGAGTTGTGGCAAATAGGGACTTGTACATGTCGTACCGACATGTGATGTATTAAACTTGACATGTCTAGTGCACCATTGTCAAGACGCAGTGATGCAAACCAATTTGCTTTGAGCCTTATTCGGTCAGTTAATATACTATTGAAAAAGCATGGCTTCAGGATTGACAATTCGTTGACTTGTGCAAGGTTACCATCTCTTATTCTCTTCAGGCAAGAAGAAAATGATTTTCTTGCCAGCAGCTCGTTTGATTTTGCATTTAAAACTGTTATTCCTTGCCAAATTTGTGCTCATATATAATAAATGTGGTTTTGCAGCACGCTGTTGCATTTGTGAAGGGGGAGGTGGGTCCTGAGGCTGCGGCCCGAAAGCTGACAGAGATTGCTTTTGCGCGTGGGAGCACGGACAATATAACATGCATAGTTGTAGAGTTTCACCGTGCCAAATAAGTGACGGAGGTTGATTTTCTTATTTCTTTTTAGCTTATTATATACTAGCAAAAGGGCCCGTGCGTTGCAACGGGAGAAAAAAAATTCATAATTTCAAATGGTCATGATCACATTTCGTTGCATCACCGAGATACAATATCTCTCTCAATTTCTCGAAATCATGAACATTTTGAAATTATGAACAATTTGTTAAACTCATGCACATATTTGAAATCGCAAACAACATACTATTACAAATTTCTGAACATTTTCTACAATCAAGAACATTTTTTCAATTTATGAATATTTTTTGCTATTTACAAACATTTTTTAAAAATTGTGAACATTTTTAAGCAATTTTCCTGAACTGGCAAACATTCTATAATCGATGAAAATATTTAGAAATTAGGTGGAATAGTTATTGAATTTGACGAACTTTTTTTGATTTAGCGAACATTTTTGGAAATGTCCGTGCCTTGCAACGGAAAAAAACTATCAAGTTATACATGTGTGGTAGATATAAAAAAGTATGAATCAAATTCACAAAGTATATACAAATCATGTCATGATGCGATAAGACACTTTTAAAATGTAATTTCAAAAATGAACAATATGATGCTCATCAAGACTTGATTTTTTAAGGCGTCACAACAAAATATTTTGTGGCTGAGCAAACTGCATTGACGGACCCTGCCTGAGCTATACTGATAAATAAAGTGTCTCGTCTGGACTTAGCGTAGCGGTGTTTACCATAACCACTATTGTGATATGAAAATAAGCATAACTGTGTATGGAAGCAAAATAGACATTTAGTCATTTTAATATAGCTTACAAAAACAAACCCTTAGAAAGTTATGTCAATTTTGTTGGGTTCAGCGTTGTACAAAACACGGAAACCCTTTTTTACCCAACGCGAAGGACTAAATAAAATCATAAAACGAGCTATATAGATCTCCTAATAAAACCTTTATGGAACCTACAATTAGTTTTGTTCATTATTTACGGATGTGTTTTATTTTTTGTGAACATTTTCTAAAAGCTGATGGACATGATTTTTAAATTCCTGAATATGCTTTGAATATTGGCTCATTTAAAAAAATCATGAACATTTTTTATTTCATGAAATCATTAGAAATCGTGATTTGTTTATAATTTGTGAGCAATTTTTTAAGTCGTGAACATTTTTTGATTTTTAGAATATTTTTTAAATTCACAAACAGTTTACCATTTTCCTACTTTTTTTTCAGAACTCGCAATTGTTTGATATTTTGGAAATCCGAAATTAATTTTGAGATAAAAAACAAACAGAAATAAAAAAGTAAAAAGAAATAAAAAATAGGGGGCGCCATCAATCCGAAATTTATTTTTAGGGAAAAAACAAAATAGAAATAAAAAAAAGATATAGAAAACAGGGGGCGCCACGACCCGCACATGGGCTGGCCCATTACTGCGCTTGGTAAAAAGAAAGAGAAAAAAGCGTGAGAACCAGGGATCAAACCCTGGTCTCCAGTGTGGAGCATCATTGCCTCAGCCATCGCGCTGCTCATGCATTGGTGCTATTATATCGTATCCACCTTTAATAACAGAACCCTGGAGCGATATTAGAAATTAAAAACGAATCGTTTTTGCCACTTACGGGTGGCATTGGTGGGTAATTATTGCCAACTTCGAGGGCACTTTTAATGACGGACGACCAGAAGCACTCCGTGCTTTATTAGTAGGGAAAGATGGGATCACCTGCCATGATGCAGGTCGAACTATGGCCTCTTCGTGGGTTGTCTATATATTCCTTCATTTGTTGTGCTTGGGGTCATTGTAGAATTTCTCTTGGGGCTTGTTCGGTTGGAAGGGGGTTGAGGAGGATTAAATCCCCTACAAGTCTGCATCCCTTCAACCCCCTCCAATCCTCTATAAACCAGCGGAGAGTACAATCACGAGAAATTCTTGTGACAGTTCCGTTTCAAAAAAAAAAATAATTCTTGTGACAGTAGCTTCTTGGGGATAGGTTTAGTCATGTCAAGAATAGCTCGAACTGCAAACGTTATGGGAAACATATCACATGATGCATTGGATGCAGAATGGACAAATACAGTCTCGTTTGGTTTAGCTTGTAACGGAAATGGCTCCCTTAACACAGTATCAGGCCAGGACCACCAATAAGATGAACAGCTTTTCAGAGCAATAAAATCAACATTGTTAAAATATTCAACTTCTAAAATAAACGCTTTAGTACTTACACAAATCTGACCCACCCAATTACGTCCGTTTCTGATACACTTTCATCTCTTTGATCATTTTGTAACTAATCAAGTGGATTTTCAGTGTGTGTGAAATATAAAGAGCACTACTCTATTACTCCCTCTACTATTGAAGCAATCGCAATCATCAACGTAATCAATCTTACTGGTTTGGAGCATGAATCCTTTTCTCAAATAAAACTTATTTACTAATTAGGAAGTGAGTCCTTTTTTAAAATAAAATTTCTTTACTATTTCAAATTTAAGATGTTTTAGGTCACTAGAGTAATTAGGAATTTCTACAAATGAGGCCAAAAGGAAAAAAAATCCTTTCCAGAACAGTAGAAACTGAAGGAGATAAAAAAAAAGAAATCCTTTCCAGAACAGTAGAAACTGAAGGAAATAAAAAAAAGAAATCCTTTCCA